CAGCACAAGCCTTACAAATGGTCAGAAAACGGAATTAATAAGGTTACATAGATGTTACAAGGTTGTTACGTAGTTGTTACAGCATTGCTACAAATGTTACGGAGGTTGAGAATGAAATGAAAATTTCACAGATAATTGTTACAAATGTTACAGGTTGTTACAAATGTTACAGCACAAGCCTTGAAAAAGGACAAAATTCAGAATTAATAAGGTTACATAGATGTTACAAGGTTGTTACGTAGTTGTTACAGCATTGTTACAAATGTTACGAAGGTTGAGAATGAAATGAAAATTTCACAGATAATTGTTACAAATGTTACAGGTTGTTACAAATGTTACAGAACAAGCCTTGAAAATGACCGAAAATCGGAATTAATAAGGTTACATAGATGTTACAAGGTTGTTACGTAGTTGTTACAGCATTGTTACAAATGTTACGAAGGTTGAGAATGAAATAAAAATTGCACAGATAATTGTTACAAATGTTACAGGTTGTTACAAGTGTTACAGCACAAGCCTTAAAAATGGTCAGAAAACGGAATAAATAAGGTTACATAGATGTTACAAGGTTGTTACAGCATTGTTACAGCATTGTTACAAATGTTACAAGAATTTGGACAATGCTGCAACAATTATAAAAATGTCTTGTTGATTTTCGTTCCCATAATTTTGTTTCAAGCAATCACATTAGTGCACAAAGAGAATCACAACCTTCGTATACAGATTCCGACACTATCCTTAACTTACTTTGGACTTTCAATCATTGTCTTCATTTCGTCTTCCTCTTTCAAATTGTTTGAAAGAATAATTAAATATGTTCAGGTTCAAGTTGTTTGAAATACAATTTATTTAATTGGTAAAACATGTCTCAAACTGAGATTTAAAACAAACCTATTGCGCAGAAAATGGAAATGTAATATATACTGCACGAAGTCATTATTACAAAACAATCACGTAATCATTTCGGTTTATAAAACAATGTAATTAGTTACTATTTTACCTCTCAAAGCAAAGATAACCCAACATGCAAAGATCAAATTGATATACTTTACTCTCTAGAATACAGGTTAGGCCATGAAATAAATAATATTTATGGTAATAGTCATACACAATCATGTTTACCATTACTATTGTCCAATTTACAAAAGCGGAGACTAATATATCAAAGAGAGCGGCCTCTTCTATAACATTGTTATTATATCTATCTTAACTCAAGCAATCTTTTATTTCTGGAAACAAAAAATAAAACAAGCTGCTGCCATTATAATGCATTCATTTATTCAGCTTTACAGATTTTAATTTCTTAGACTAACGTTCAACTTTATAAAACCGATTTTATTTTTCAAAGTTTTGTTTATTTAATAAAACTTTGTAAAATATGTGTAACTGCAGGTCCAAAGTGGGGAAGTAAGTGTTAAGTGCTATGTTCAAAATATTTTATTTGTGTTTCTAAGAAGGTTTCACGTGACTCCCCATAATTATATGATTTTTTAACTTGCTTTAACGGTTAACAAAATACATTAATAATTTGTTAAGTTTTATATATTTCTGTGTCCTTTTATAGGTTTATTATTTTATATCAAACTAATGAAAAACATACATTCATCAAAATGTTAATATTTAATAATGATAATAATAATAATAATAATAATAATAATAATAATAATAATAATTGTTTAATATCATTTTCTTATCACAGAAAGACCAACATGTCAAATCAGTTTTGGTCTTTGTTCTTATGAATGACGAAGTGAAACAAGGTTGGAACTCAACTCATACTTAGTACAGATTAAGAAATATAAAATGTAGGCAATCCGGCATTGAAAAGAATATTTGAATAAATAGAAGCATTCCAATCCAGATAAGTGTAGTTTTATAACAAGAAAACCTAGAGAATATATTTAATTGATAACAGTTGAAACTTGTGTTAACTGTCAATCTTGAAGAAATATGTATTAACTAGGAAATAACTGAAAAAGGAATTATCGCTCGGAATCTGTGAAACAACAATAACGAAAGTCGGTATACGAGTAATGCACGTTTGACATTGAAAGAGAAAAATGAGGTCGTTTATAAACATACACTGTAGGTTACGGTCTAAGAGTTTAATAACTGACTTTATGCGTGAAGAAAATATAAAGCAAATTTAAACTGAAACATGTCATGGTATCAATATTAGTGATGCATCAACATTTTGAGCGTAAACTTAAACGTACCTGCTACATAAAGCTGTTCAAACATATCATATTAAAATATGTCTGAATGACAGTAAATTCATGAAAGTTATTGTAATATTTCTTAAATATTAAAACAACAGGTTATTTTTTAGCAGTTGCCCTGTCCTGTTTTTGTTTGGGGTCCGCCTGGATTCCTTGCCACTGGCTCTTGTGGGGGTTGCATTCTGTGAACGCCGCCTTTCCTTGTTGATCTTATTTATCATATTTTATCTTTCTGTTCTTCCTAGAATTGACATAGAAATCATCATTTACCGTTTTCATGCATATTATCTTTTATCAGAGACGCTTATTGTCTGTACAAATGCATGCTATGAGAGAGATTGAAGTGTTAAACTAGCTTCGCTTTCATTAAAATATAGCATTAACAAGCCTTAAATAATATAAATTTCAATTTGAAGTCATAAGTAACATTGTTATTCACGCTAATATGAAGGTGTTTGTTTGTAAATTTTATTTGAGAAACCTCATCTCATCGTATCAGTTATGTATAACCATGCACCCATACTTCTCCAGATTTGTCACTTTAATATTCCATGCTCTAGATTGATTAAAGAGCAAACAAAAATGCTTTTCAAGCCTATATTTTCTAGTAACTTAAATGACATAAAAATAATAACAATGTATGAATGTATTATTTGGTTGGTGTTCATGTCGCACTATAACGGACGAGGAACTTTGACTACTACCATGTGTGCCCAGAGATGGGATGGGTTTGGGTCCTCAGCCGCCATTGATTGGGCATCTTTTTTCTTTTGTTGGGTTTAACGTTGCACCAACGCATAGGTCAAATGGCATTTTCCAGTGGAAGGAGAAACCTCAGGTGGACACTCCTAGCACAAAATCCAATATGTTTTAACTGATAATTTCAAAGAGTGCACAATATTTGCAAAGGTATTACATATGAAAAGCTTCGGTGCATTCTAGGTGCCCTGCTGAAGTGGCTGGGTTATATCTAGGATTAGTTACCATTCCTTGTAAACCTTTATTCTCGTTATTTTTATTTTTCATCAGGACCAATAATATGTTACTAAAATAATTCAGGTTCAATGCAATATTCTATAACTCGTATGGTTGATTTGAATTGCTGAACATAAAAATCAAGATATCATGACGGTGCATAATATTCTGTGATTTTCTTTCAACATTAAAGAACCTTAAATAAAATAGTTGATTACAGTCAAACGCGCCCATCCTTGTTGATCTTGTATGTAATATTTCACTCTTTTTTTCGGAGCACAATGAAATTTTGAAAAATAAAGTCCTACGTAAACCCCTACGTAGGACTTATCTATAACTTATAAAGTCCTACGTTTGAGAAACAAGCTCCTAATTAGGCTTTGTTCATCTCTTACGTAGGAGTAACATATTTGCGGATGTTTCTAAATTCAAAATTTAACATGTCTATTTTATAGAGAAAAACAGAATCACCCAAAAAGGCCCAACACGACAAAATGAAAACGTTGTGGGCTCGGTTTAATTGAGCCTGTTCATGAACGGTACTGTCAAGTGCAAACTATCGTCCACGCCCCTGGCACCGGCTAAAGCAGAATTCAACATTTAGACAATAAATTGGTGAAATTTTGAATTTAGAAAAATCCGCAGATGTTTTTATTCGGCGGTTATCATGGAACCTTCAACATGACACAGTAGTGCAAAAGCGGCGTATGGTCCTTAAGTAAAAAGATGCGTGTGCCCTAAACGAGAAAACAATGGGTAGAAGTCCTTCGTAGGAGTCAAAAAGTCTAACGTAGAAGTTAGAAACTCTTCATTAGGCTTTCTTATCGCCTACGTTGGATTTATAGTCCTACGTAGGAGCTATAAGGAGTTATCCTTTTTATAGGATTTATAATGATGTACAACTGTATTTAATAAGAAAATAAACGCTATTTGAAACTTAACGTAATTTAGCGCAAGAAACACATTGGCAGTAACAAAAGTTATCATAACAAATTAAGGACAACTGGCAGTTACAAAAGTTATCATAACAAATCTAGGACAACTTCAGAGTTACTCCAGGTAATTTGAAAAATCGGGCATAAATTTCTTAGCCGGTGCTTTGTTTGCAATTTGGCATTAAACTCGTAATTAGGTTATCATGTATGGCAAGGATGAAGACCAGAAAAAGTGTCAAGTGCCGTATGCCAGATGCCTTTACTTCAGTTATAATTTTTCTGGTCAATCGTAAACATCGATTCGTCCAAACCTTCAAACCGAGTCTACAATTCATATATTATTCTATTGGGGAAAATCTTCTTTGTATAAATCATATGGAGTACTTGCATAGCAACACAATTTAATTTCATGCAATTTTGAAGAAATTTAATGAGTAAATGAGAATACGTCGTTTTGAATCAATGATTTAATAACAAATAATTGAAGACGTTTGTATGAAGTTGTTACCGTCAACCAGTAGATATGATATTACCAAAGACTCTGCAAAGTGACAAAAGATTGAAATGATAAATTAATCAAAGTAAATTTCACATATCGTTATACATATAATGTCGCCATTTTCTACATCTATTATTTAAATTTTTCAAAGACTACTACTACTGCTACTACTGCTACTGCTACTACTACTACTATAATAATATTATTATTAATAATGATAATAATAAAATTAATAATAATAATATAATTGGTTGTTTTTTTTTTTTTTTTTTGGCAAGACGTATTGGATATGTCAGAGAATAATGGAATAAGTGCTCTAATCTCCAATCGCATTATTAACAAAGAAACCACTCCCCTTAATATACAGTATAAATGGAATTGCAGAGAGAGAGAGAGAGAGAGAGAGAGAGAGAGAGAGAGCTCGGGGGAGGGAGAGAGAGGGGGAGGGAGGGAGAGAGAGAGAGAGAGAGAGAGAGAGAGAGGGGACTTATTATTGCCTTTGCACTAATGCTCAACATTTGTATATATGGGATGTGTATTTGATGTTTTTCATCATTTGTTGCATTAAACATTTGTTCAATGTTTAATGCTAAATAAAATCTATTGTCATTGTCATTGTTTACCATTACTATTGCCCAATTACAAAACGGAGACTAAGATATCAAAGAGAGCGGCTTCTTCTATAACATTTCATGCAGGCTTTTACTTCATTCAAAGTGTACCGGACAACTTTTTGGCAATGTGCTCGGACGAAAATACCCCTAGTATTGTCAGAATAATAAAAATACTGACTGTATTTGTCAAACAAAGTGAATAAATCCTTATACTGATAGATCTTGTTTTGGACTAACCAATTAGTACTATAAAAAAACAAGCCTAAACTGTTGCTATTTTCAACATTTCCAGTAGTGTAAAAGTCACATCAATTTGCCAACCTTAACACATCAATCCAGTTTAATTAATCCAAGTTAATGTCATTAAAAACAGAAGTTTTAAATATGTTTATAAACATTACGGCAGACATGCGACATGAACAGAGTCGAAATCAATCAAATCAAGTTCATTTTCTCTTATTTTTATATAAGGCCTACCCGCTAGGAGATCAACATTGTAAATTTGCGAAGTGAAAGATAAAAGTATGATTCAATTGATAAATAAAAGATCGTACGTAGCGTAAAATAAGTAATTTCGCTGGCTTTTTTATTCCAGTAAGCATATGTTGTTGTGCACCTGGGTATTTTTGTGTGGATCTATATAGTATTTTTTGACTTATTGCCCTTGACTTAGTAAAAATTTGCAATTTTCAACTTGTGTCGCATGTAACTCAAAAACGATTTGACCTAGAGTCATGACACTTTACAGGAATGTTGATCAGCATGTGTAGTTGTGCACCTTGGTATTTTCGTGTGGATTTTTTTAGAGTTATTGCCCTTGACAAAGTAAAATTTTACAATTTTCAACTTGTGTCGCATGTAACTGAAAAAGTATTTGACCTAGAGTCATGGAACCTTACAGGAATGTTGATCAGCATGTGTAGTTGTGCACCTGGGTATTTTCGTGTGGATTTATTTAGTATTTTTAGAGTTATTGCCCTTGACTTGGAAATATTTTGCAATTTTTAACTTGTGTCGCATGTAACTCATGTAAATACTGGCTAAATCTACAAGTTAAACCCCAAGTGCACAACTACTTATGCTGAGCAACCTTCCCGTAAGGTTTAATGACTTTATGTCAAATCCTTGAAAATACTAAGTCAATAGACGAACATAGATAGTGTCATGCATAAATAAATAATGCTAGCCCCTTATGAACCCCTTTAAAGCTTAAAATTTCAGAGTATAGGCATTATCATGAACTGTGTGTAATTTTCTCATATCTGTCTGTTAAAGCCATTAGTTTTTTTTATAAAATTCTAAAAGACATGTAAAGTATTCAATATATATTTTACTATAAACATTATCATTTCAACATTATATTAATGGACCGTTGTCTTAGTAATTAAATATAAACACCTGCCGACATCAAAGCCATAAATCCAAAGGTTCGAATTAACATAACTGCAAAGTGAAAATATGTAAACATGTGTTATTTTGTAACTGGACCTGAAGCCCTATATGAGTTAACCTGTCATTTCGTTCGACCTTCATTTATGTTATTAGCATATACTTCACTGGCATATATACTTCACTGGCATATTAGAAGTGGTATTTTGTATTTAAATCTATAATAAACATACAGAGGTCACGAATGCATCTTCATGATTTAAAATATCAGAATCATGAATTTATCATTCAATTTTCACGAATACACGATTTAAGTATCACGAATGCACGACTTCAACTTTATAAATCACGATATTTTAACTTCACTAATTTACCATTTCAATTTCACGAATTCCTGATTTTAATTTCCAGAATTTACGATTTTAACTTCATGTTTCCAACTGTATGAAGTCACGTTATTTCAACTTTGTGAACTCACGACTATGAATTCGTAAATTCATGAATACTATTTGAAGATGACTTCTGGAATTCGTGAAGTTGAAATCATAAAGTTCAAAACATGAATTCATAAGGTTAATTCATGAAATTGAAATCATAAATAATTTTTCATGAAGTTGAAATTGTTTACTCGTAAAGTTAAAATCGTGAATTCATGATGTTTAGATAGTCGTGAATTTCGTATTTCATGTCGTTAATTCACGAATTTAAAATTGTGAATTCATGAAAATCATGCAGTGCAGTTGAAATGCCCAAACCAGTCTTTGCAGGCTTCTATTATTATCATAAATACATAACGGACGTACACTAGTCTATTTACATGGTAGTTTGTTTTTCCGAGAATATTCATATATAACATTTTGAAAAAACCCAACGGTTATTTGTGACAAAGGGTCATACTGATCAAAGAAATTTCAGTTAAAACTAAGAACAGCTGCATTCATAAAAATAACAGTCAACAACTCGTTATTAAAAAAGGGTTTTCAGTATCATCGATGTTGAATTACAATAAATAAATCCACACAAAATTAGAGTAAAATTTGTGTTGTATTTTCTAATATTAGCATAAACCGTTTTAGTAGCAGTTTTACCTATTCGTTGATGTATGTCTTTTATACCTCATATCTTGAAGTATGGCGTTCTTACGGCGACCTAGAACTTTTATATTCCTTTTGATTATTAATTTTAACTATATAATTATTATAAGTTTTTATTGGCTAAATAATGCTAAATCTAATAACAAATATAGTATTTGATTAATTTGATTTGATTTTATTAATATTTGACAATATCAGCCAATACACTTTAGAGAAAATGTTGGCAAACTTTGAAAACAGACCAGTCCTAATTTAAGTAAAGTTAAGGCTTTCATAAGTAGTACAATCGTCAAACAAGTGTTTAAATTCTTAAAATAGTTTATTACATTTATCAAACATTTTGAGTAGAAACCATTATTTTGCTTGTATGATTTGTTAGCTGAATGCTATCATTTGTTGTTTTTTTGACAATAATAAACAAGAAAGCATTTTATAAGGATATATTAAAAGAGATTTTGAAAAAGAGCCTAATCAATATTCAGGCTTTAGCTCAGAAATTTAATCATATAAGCCTATGTTAAATTGTCACGCTACATTTCAGTTTCTGAAATTTTAAATATATGAAGTATATTGAAACTCCTTTTTACATAAAATGAAAAAGAAAACGCATATAATAAAAGGAAAAAATGTGTTGGATGGGCATAATGCGACTAAAACAAACCTTTAATTGGTATGAACGCATTGGATACGATCATGGAATGTTTGTTTATAGAATTGATTTATTCATAATTAGACATTGCATCGATGACTTGGTCCAAATAGCACATTTACGTAACGGTGATAACCGGATGTGATTAATGAAATAATTAAATGACTGAATACTGTTGGAAAAGGCTAATAAGATTTTTGGTATTTTCAAGTTTTATGTACTGTGAATCAAGCTTTCCTTACATACTATGAAACTATAGAAACTATAGAAAAGAAAATGGGTAAGATATGACATTATCATTTAAAAAGTCTGTTATTTTTCGAATGCTTAGTGATGAATGACGATCACATAACAACCTTAGTATATTCAAAAAAATATTTTCTTTACAATGAAGCACGGGAATTGGATTCTAGCAACTTGTTACAGCTATGATACGTGTATAATCAGCTCGAACAACAAATGCTCCGTCTGAGATCAGCGCTCTATTCCCATCGCTGTATGGCGTGCGATATCATATTTTAAGGATGTTCTAAGTTATTTCATATCTTTTTTGATTTAAAAGCTAAAATAGATTCTTCAAATATTACACGCTTACTAATGAAATTCACGATCATGTTAATTTGTTCTCACTATGGTGTAAGAATAGTGTAGCCACCTTCATCATTTTTGCTAATATCAAACTTAATTTTTCATGTTGAATTAAAAGGTGTTGATTTCTAAAGTTAATTTTGCTTTATGTGTCAAATACTAGAATTGATAATTATGATGTTACAGTTGTAATTAACCGATTTCAACGATGTAGAGTATTAGGCCCAATGTTGGAATGTGGTAATATGCTGTATATAAAAGTCAACGAGTCATTTAAAATCTCTACAAGTGTATAAAAATGTTGGAGACAATGAAAATATCGATTTTGTTGTTTTTTTATCTAGACAGATTCTTATTTAATGCTTCAAAAACAGTTTTTCCGCAATAGGGAAGCTTCTTATCTTTATATATTACGGACTTTCACATCCGGTTAATGTCTCGTTCCACATGATGCTGGAGGACAATACAAGTCGGGAAGTATGGGATCCGAGATCATGTCAAAAATATGGGGAAACGAAAAACTGCTATTTTGATGTATTCCGTGAATTGTAGCACTAAATGTTATAATCTTTTAATTACATCATATATTAACGAATTCGAAAACCTACCTAAATGCCGTTTCCCTTACTTTCTTTACATAGCTCTGGGGAATTCACCTAATGGAGCGTAATAACGAACTCTATGTTTTGGCCTTTTTAATTAAAATGAAATAAAACAATTATTTCTTGTAAGAAAATAATTAAATATCATTAAATAAATAATTCCATACAAAAAAATGAAGTAAATACACGAGATTACGCAGAAATTATCTCTTTTTATTATGTAAGATGCCACTTCGACTGTTTTAATCTTATTGGTGTTCACTTAAACACTTCTATACCAACTTACAGGATCAAATAGACAAAACACCACAGCATGATATTCTCATTGTGATGGGGGACTTTAATGCCAAGGTTGGTTCTGATAACATCGGATATGAAACCTGCATGGGTTGTGAAGGACTTGGCGACTGTAATGACAATGGTCAACGTTTTTCTGACTTATGCCTGGAAAATGGACTGGTTATTGGAGGTACAGTGTTCCAACATAAGGACATACACAAGTCAACCTGGCTTTCGCCAGATGGCAGGACCAGCAACCAGATTGACCATATCGCCATCAGCAGGAAATGGAGAAGATCCATGACAGATGTAAGAGCCATCAGGGGTGCAGACGCAGGCAGTGACCACAACCTTGTGCTATGTAAGCTACAACTGAAATTGAGGAGTAGCGGAAAAAAGAATAAGCAACAGCTATTTGACTCCAACAAACTTAAGGACCTGAATGTGAAAACCCAGTTCAACTTGACACTGAAAAACCGATTTGACATCCTAGAAAGCACGCCAGCGGATGACATCAACTCCCTATGCACAAAGATCCAGAACATCTATCTGGATACCAGCCAGGAGGTTCTAGGCTACAAGAAACGAGACAGAAAAGAATGGATCTCCACTGACACTTGGAACCTTATAAGGGAGAGGAAGGTCATTAAGCAGCAGATGCTAACAGGAAGTCCCGAAGAGAGATCAAGGGCAGCATAAGCTTACTCTGAGAAGAACAAAGCTGTTAAGAAGAGTGCAAGACAGGACAAAAGAGACTACACTAACAGTCTAGCAGTGGAAGCCCAGGTTGCTGCAGAAAAGGGTGACTCCAGAACAGTCTACAAAATCACAAAGACCCTTACTGGAGAATTTACCAACAGTTCCACCATTGTGAAAGATAAGAATGGAAATGCTCCAACGAAGAATGAAGAACAACTAGAAAGATGGGCTGAGCACTTCGAAGAAATCCTTAACAGGCCAGACCCGGAGAAGGAAGCTTCTGTTAAAGACATGGGATTCCATATAGAGATGAAGCGTGGCAGTATCACCCAGCACGAAATCATAGAGGCCATCAAGCAGACGAAAGGAAACAAAGCTCCCGGGGAAGACAAAATCACTTCAGACATGTTGAAAGCTGACCCCCGAGATAGTGCAAAGCACCTTGTGGAACTATTCAACTAGGTTTGGGAAGAAGAAAGAGTCCCTGACTCATGGAAGAAGGGTGTCATCGTGAAACTGCCGAAGAAGGGAGACCTGACTCAGTGCGGCAACTGGAGGGGTATCAACTTGTTATCCGTTCCTGGAAAGATATTCTGCAGAGTTCTTCTATCAAGGATGAAGCAGTCTATTGAGAGAGTCCTCAGAGAGGAGCAAGCAGGGTTTCGGAGCGGAAGAAGCTGCACAGACCAGATCGTCATTCTTCGGACAATAGTGGAGCAATCCCTTGAATGGAACTCTTCATTGTACATCAATTACATAGACTATGAAAAGGCGTTCGACAGCATACACCACCCATCATTGTGGAAGATATTCCTAGCATATGGATTTCCGCCAAAAGTTGTCAACATCCTTAAGGACATGTACGCCAACAACCAGAGCTGTGTACGTCATAATGGACAGCAAAGCGAATGGTTCCACGTAAAAACTGGTGTACGCCAAGGCTGTGTTATTTCACCAACGCTGTTCCTTGTTGTAATTGACTGGGTGATGCGGAAAGCCACTGAAGATAGACACAGAGGTCTAGTATGGGGACTGACTGCCCGCTTGGAAGACTGTGATTTTGCTGACGACATCGCATTGCTGTTCCATGTACAAAATGATATACAGGAGAAGACAGATCGTGTCACCAAAACTGCCAAAGGTGTAGGACTAAAAATACACGCTGGGAAAACAAAGCTGATGATGGTGAAGACCAAAAGCAGCCAGAAAATCAGCATCAACAACACTGAGTTGGAAGAGGTGAAAGACTTCAAGTACCTTGGGAGTTACATCTCAGCTGATAGTAACATTGAGAAAGAGATCTCAACCAGGATTGGACTTGCAGCCCAGGCATTCAAGAGACTACAGAACATATGGAAGTCTACAGCCCTGCATACCAAAACAAAACTGAAGATCTACACATCCAATGTCCGCTCAGTCCTTCTGTACGCGTCTGAGACCTGGAGAACCAACACCAAGGTTGAGAGTAGGCTAAGAGGCTTCGAGAGTCGCTGGCAACAACATGTCACTAACGTAGAGGTCAACAGACGCTCCGGGATCACCAACATTGTTCAAGAGGTCAAGTCCAGACGATGGAGATGGCTGGGTCATGTTCTGAGGATGAACAAGCAGAGACATCCTCACAAAGTACTGAGATGGACACCACAAGGCCAGAGGAAGAGAGGTCGTCCACTAGGCACCTGGAGGAGAACCATCGAGGAAGAGATGAAGGCAGCAGGCAAGACCTGGAACGAGCTGAACTGGTTAGCTCAGGACAGGGATGGCTGGAGGAGATTTGTTGGTGCCTTATGCTCCACCTGGAGCGAAGAGGATTAGTAGTAGTAGTAAATAAATAATTCCATACAAAAAAATAAAGGAAATACACGAGATTACGCAGAAATTATCTCTTTTTATTATGTAAGATGCCACTTCGACTGTTTTAATTTTATTGGTGTTCACATTTTTTTAGTTGCAATAGATATTAAATGAATATTGATAATTTTCAAACCTTAAACGGTAAAATAATGATAGAAAAATAAAAATATCATGTATTATGTACTTCATTTGTTGTAATTCCACAGAGCTAAATCCGTAACGTACCGAAAAACGGTGTTAAGCTAGGTTTTCGAAATGGTCAATATATCAAATATGAATGCATCTAGAACATTTTATTGTTGATACTCAATCCAGGAACTAATTTGATACCTTCCCATTGGTAAAATAGTTGAGTGTAATATGGAGTTTGTTTTCACGAAAGATGATAAAAGATATTGAATTTTATCATATTGAGTAACAGTGAGGTCCATGTTTTACGAAACAATTAAATTTAATTTCATTTTCGTGAAAAATAAACAAATACAAGCTATTTACGAAAACCCTCGCTATCTGTACAGCGTGCAGTAATGTATTAATTGTTTATCAATGAGTGACGCGGTTAATACACAATTTTTCGGTGCCACATTACATGTTGTTGAGAAAAAATAACCAGAATTATTATCTTAATTTGTGATAACGAAATGAATAACTGAAGCTATTGACTGTAAGAGGAAAGCATCTGAGAAAGAAGTTCTTAAAAATGAATATGAATTTTACTTCACCCACTTTCATGTTTTTACCAAATATGAAGTATATATGACTGATATAGCACATATTGAATGTGTACAATTAAATAAAAGATAAATATCAGTAACACTACGTAAAGCTCCTTTTAAATTAGGGAGAAGATCGAAAACGTAAATTAGGGAGAAGATCGAAAACGTAACTGCGTTAACATTGTCATGACATATAGACAATAATTAATACCAGCACATAATATATTTGAACTTCACTAAGCATCTATCACATCAGCCTTACGGCAGCCATACGAACGCATTTCAACAAAAATCGCTGTGTTTCGTGCGAAAGACGTAAGACAGTCGTACGAATTCTTAAGGTCGCTAGGTTGCCACAACGTCGCAGATTGATTTCTCAACATGCACATTATTTCTGCGATATTTTGACAGATTTTTGACGTCTCGAGACAGTCTTGAGACAACCGTACGACAGACTCAAGATTTCAAGAAGTTCGGAAGTCATAATGTTTTGCGTTTGTCTTGCGACGACTGCAAGGTTTCCCTACGAACATCGTGCGGCTACCGCGGGCCGTAATCGAATGCTGTCACATGACAGTTGACAATCGTAAAACAGTCGTATACCTCTTCCGACAGCCGTGCACGACCTTTTCGTCAGTTGCGCATCTTATAAATATCATATCCTTTCAAAATTCCAAACGCTGCGGCTCATCCTTATGTACCCCATGTATTCACCCTTTGACTCCTATCACAGCTCCTTGAAGAGGGTGTGATATTGGCCAAACAACCGACGTCGTGCAATCCAAGCCCCATGTTCACAAAGATTTAAGGATCAGGATCAAGATCAGGATCAAATTAAAAAAACAAAACAAATATTCTACATTGTTTATCCTCGAAGATAAATATATAATAATAACTTGATAAAATTGGACTTGAAATGGTATATTAATGAAATTTTTAAAATAAATTTATTATTATTTTTGCAAGATATTGGCATTTTACAGTTGATCCGAATATTGATCTTGATCCTAAAACTGATCCTTATTTTGAAATGAATATTTCTAACTTTGTTTTGTTATTTGTCGATTTTATCCCGAAATAGGGTTGTTTCTTTGCGAATTAGCAATTGTTCACATTTTTAATATGAACTTTTTAATTCTAGCAAAGTATGATCAATTTTAGTTTCATAAAACAATGAAAATATAATCAGGATTATTTAATCCTGTTCTTTTCTTACTGAACACGGGGCCAGGGCTTTACGCAGAGTGTTCTCCGGCCATGTTGCGCTCTGATAAGCAACGCCAGAACTATTGCGTACGAAATATCCGTCTTAGAATACTCAAATGCAACCTTTGTGGTTGAATTGCCGTCCTGGTTTGATTGAAACAATACGGGACACTCTTATGATGGTGCTGCATTCAATCCTCAGTTTCAAATTCGTACGATGAACGTACATACATCGTACGGCAGCCGTGCTACAGCCTTGCGAATTCCTGTTGGGCGTGCGGTGCCCATGCGATTTGTTTTTCAATTTCGTACGATTGCCTTACGACTGTCTTAGCAATCGCACGTCTATTGCACGGTCATATTGCGACGACCGTACGAAATGTTGTTGCTTTTTGTACAACTTTCAAGCATAAATATCGTGCGAACAATGCAGCCGCCGTACGAACAGCGTACGTCGGCCTTTCGATCTACAAATCTGTCTAGATAGATTGCGAAATAGCCTGCGAACTTTCTACGGCACAGATTTCTCAACAAATGGTTCGAACCAAATTTCGTGCGGCTGATGTGATAGAGGCTTAAATAAGCTAAAAAGTCACATAAACAGAGATTTGTTTTATATCCACCAACGCCAGTTTTGGTATGTAAGCATAATATTTGTTCGAAGTTAAAAACGAAAAGAAACGTTTCAAAGCTTATTCAATATTCACCCCAAATTATATATTTTACCTTTATGACAAAGTATCTCACATCCGGTGCCATTTTCTCCAGGTGATAAGGATCTCACCAAATGTCCTAAAACTATCAGTACACAAGAATGTAGAATGTTTGTCTTTCTACTGTCCTTTCTAAGGTGTAATGTTGTAATGCCGTTTGTAAATGTTTGTAAAAAGACAAATCATTTTTAGAAATAGGGAAAGTTTATTTTATCATTATATTATTTCCCTTCCAGAGGATAGATTCGCTTCATTGATGTTTTTCTGATCCGTCGGGATAATTGATTCCGGCACCTAAAGTGTTGAAAACTGAGTACCGCTGAAGCCTTTGATAGGTGGGGACGTGAAAGATTTTGCAAGTCTTCATTAACTCTCATGCGCAGACTCATTCAGACCGATTCTGCATTTTCATTTTTGTTGTTGTTATGATTAATGCTGCCGAGGGATGACCCCTTTTCAGGATTTTATACTTCACAATAACAGGTGTAAAGTGTCGTGTGGAAGATATAAAAGGTTGCCCCGTATTTCACTTTAGTTATAATTTTCTGGTCATTCGGGATCATCGATTCCGGCAAACCGAATCTACATTTTATGTGTCATTTTGGTGGGGAACATTGATCCGGGACAAGCCCTTTTCCGGATTCTTTTCGGAATGATTTGTATGAAACAAATGGGCTTCTTGTATAACAACTCAATTTAATTTCATACAATTCGGAAAGATTTATTGAGTAATTGAGAACAAGTAGTTTTGAATCAATGATCTGATAACAAATAAGTCGTTTGTCGTTATCTTCGGCTTGAAATTAGATCCAGTAGTATCTGATATGGTATTAGCCAGGTATCTACAATGTGACAAAAGATGGAAATGATAAATTAATCAAACTAAGTTTCACATGAATATGTCTAGTCTTCTTAACGTTAAGGTATGCCATAACCTCGAATGAGAGAAAAACATTATATTTATCTAATTTTC